AATTCTCCCAAAAATACCCTCCTTTTTTTTGTTCATGAAAACAACACAGGGCTGAGCATTCTTGATGGGAGACTACCCACATCAAGAAAACGAACCAGAGCAAAGATATGTGATGTATACACAAATACCCTGATATTACAAGACCCATAGAAAATAAAACTTTCTGGGGCGCCTGGGTGGCGCAGTCGGTTAAGTGTCCGACTTCAGCCAGGTCACGATCTTGCGGTCCGTGAGTTCGAGCCCCGCGTCAGGCTCTGGGCTGATGGCTCAGAGCCTGGAGCCTGTTTCCGATTCTCTGTCTCCCTCTCTCTCTGACCCTCCCCCGTTCATGCTCTGTCTCTCCCTGTCCCAAAAATAAATAACGTTGAAAAAAAAAAAAGAAAATACAACTTTCTCTTTTCCTGAACCCCAGGCCTTTCTGATATTTAAATTAAGAAATGTCAACCTTTCCACTGTTCTAGAACAGGGGATCTGTAAGCTACAGACCACAGGCCAAATCTGCCTCATCATCTGTACAGCTCCTGAGCTAAGAATGATTTAAATTTCTTAAATGTAGGGGGAAGAATCGAAGGAATAATAATATTGTGTGACACTGGGATATTTTTTAAAAATGCAAATTTCTCTGTCCAGAAGTAAAGTTGTATTGGAGCATAGCCACACTTGTTTGCTTAGAGATTGTTTCTGACTGTTGCTTTTGTGCTACAAAGGCAGAGTCGAGTGGAAGACACAGAGCCCACATGTGGGCCACATACTGACTATCTGGCTCCTTACAGAAAAAGTGTGCTGACCGCTGGTCCAGAATAATGCTACGGGCTTTAGGCTGAATTGAGTAAAAAGGGTGTGAAAGCCATCCCTCAACTCTAGTACTAACAGGCTGAATACATTTATTGTACTGTAGGATTTATTGAACTGTGGGCGCTCCTTGTTAAAGTGGAGAGATTTATTTTTGGGATCAACCATATATGTATGGTGAAATATGTAGTCGAATAATAAATATTTTTTTGTTTAACCTAATGATAGTTGACAAATGTCAACTTACATGTCAAAACTAAGTGTCTTCCAAGTAGACTCATAAAATAAAATTAAGGTTACTGTTAATAGCAATCCTTTAAAAATCAACAAATGGCGGGGGGCACCTGGGCGGCTCAGTTGGTTAAGTGTCTGACTTAGGCTCAGGTCATGATCTCGCAGTTTGTGAGTTCAAGCCCCGCGTCGTAGGGCTCTGTGCTGACAGCTCAGAGCTTGGAGCCTGCTTCAGATTCAGATTCTGTATCTCCCTCTCTCTATTCCTGCCCCGCTTGCACTCTGCCTCCCTCCCTCTCTCTCTCTCTTTCTTTCTCAAAACTAAATAAAGATTAAAAGAAAATTTTTAAAAAATCAATGAATGTCAAAACTGCCTCCATGGAGATTGATTTTTGCAAATCCACCGCTAACCTGTTTTATGCTTGCTGATCCATAGGGGACCAGAGAGTCTGTGAAACTATCAGACGTGTATTTCCCTTTGTGTTGCTTCAACAAATCTTGAATTTGACCTCGTTAGCAACTGCTAAGTGTTGCACATAAGAGTATTCAGTGATGGGCACCTGGGTGACTCGGTTGGTTAAGCATCTGACTCTCCATTTTGGCCAGGTCATGATCTCATGGTTCGTGCGTTCAAGGTTTGCACCGGGCTCTGCGATGAGAGCATGGAGCCTGTTTTAGATTCTCTCACCCTCTCTCTCTCTGCCCCTGCCCTGCTCATGCTCTCTTGCTCTCTCACAATAAATAAATAAACTTAAAAAGAGTGTTTAGTGATTGAAACATATAAAAAACAATAAATAATAGAAGAAAATGGGTTATTTGCAAAAAAAGTTGTGTCATGGAAAATGTTTAAAGACTGAACTTTGAATGCAGATTCCATTTTGTTGAGAAAAGAAACTCTTGATGTTTAAATCAGTTCTTAGATCTGCACCGCTGTCTATATTTGTCTTCAGTGCTAGGATTGGGATGTGACAAGGACTACACACATCAAATGTGAACTTTAAGAGGCACAAAAGAAAAACCAGTAATCAAGATAAGTAATAGTTCAATTCATAATTTTTTTAAATGAGAAATAATGCAAAATAACCCATAATGAGCAAAATAGGCCAAAATTATTGTATAAATTCAGGTTTGCTATAGTTGCCTGCAATGGAAAAATTCAATATATCAATATATTAAAAAATGGAGACCTATTTCTCCTTCATGTAAAATCATTTGGAGATGGGTATCCTACAGATGGTGTGCTGGGGGCCCCATGCCATTTTTGATGGGTCAGGCTCCCGTATCTCAGCTTTGACATCATATATATATATATGTACATATCGTATACGTATAAGATAATATAGTTATTAACATAATATTATATCATATGTAAAATTTAACAATGACCTAGTAGATGTGGTTATAATTTATTTTTATTGTCTTACGTTTGTGTATTGGCATTTTCTCATTTTTCTCTAAATATTTATTATTTCATAATCAAGAACAAAACCTAATGCGTGATATAATTTTGAAACTAAAAAGAAGATGCCATTCCTTTTTTATTAAAATTTTGTCTTTATTAAGGCCAAGATGTCAATTTGATCTTTCATTTGCTGAGGTGACTACAAAGAATATTGGGTACATGCTCTTCGAGTGCATGCAGACTTTGAAATCATATTTCTATACTCATTAGGGAACATTTTTTTTATCTGTCTAGAAACACAACTAAATCAATCATTCATATAACATTTTGTTCATTAGCTGTTAAATAAGTGAATGCAGAAAGAGTTCTAAACCAAACCAATATAAGTTCACTGGTGAGGCTAGGCGAGATTTCCTTCCTGGGTTTAACGAGAAAAAAGTAAGAAGCAGAATGCACGTTTTCAACATAATTCAGTGTGCACCTTTTATCCCCCGAGCCTCACAGAACGCAAATTCTGGTAAATTCCTTGGAGGAATGAAGTACAAAGTCACCAAGAATAGTTCCTACTAAAAATTTCTAAGAATTGATAGAAGTTTGGTCTTTTCTCCCTGAACACCACTAGACATGCCTAGAAGCCTAATTTGAGCCTATTCTATAAGAGTTCTATTGTTGGTTTGTTTTAGTATCAGAAGCTCAGTATTAAATAAATAGGGCTTTAGACTTCTGCCCATTTGAGTACTTCCTTTAAAAAGGAGAGAGGTGGGAACACATCCTCTCGTTAACTCTCCTGCCCCTGGTTTGACATCATACTACTACTAATAAAAAGTGCTAACTCCACACATTGACCCTGAAAACCAGATTCTAGGATGTGAAAATCTTCCTGAAAATATTGATTCGCAGGGAGCTTGTTGCTGATAGATTTGTCATCTGACATTAATTTTTCTTAATGTAATTAGATAGTAGCATAATGGCTATGCTTCCATAGAGAACAATTAGCCATTCAAAACATGTGGTGTGGATAAAAATTTCCGAATTGCCTCCAGGAATCAATTAAAGGAAAACACAACAGAGAGAAAAATCAAATATGGTAATGATGGGATTTAAAAACTAATAAATTATTGCATTTCCTAAGAAATTGCAGGAAGAAAATTAAGGGAGAAATAAAGCCAGCCCATTGATTTCAATGGAATTGTGAGCTTCAGAATCTATTCTAATGAAATGGTAATGGTAATGCTAATTCTGTCAAACAATATAGGATTCCCTCAAATCCTTTATATTTAATTTAAATATCTTTTTATTAAAAAAAGATTCTAATGATCTTTGGAGTTAAATATTGTTCACCAAAAATTTGTGACTAAAAATGAATTATCTTATTTCATCCTGTTTTTATTCTACAAACTTGGAAGAGGGGGTTGAACAAGAGTTTCTTTAAGGTTCTGCCCAAAGTTACTTTTCTGTGATCTCTTTGGTCAAACTAAAATGGCAGACATTTTATCTGATGCTATTGGCCCTCTTAACTTTGTCTACTAGAAATCAAATAGTTATAATCTGTTTTCAAAATTTCCGCATGAATGTAAGTCCTCTGAAAGTCATATAAAGTAAATGATTAAGATGTAAACAGAATTAAATATGAGTTATTACCTTAGTTCTCCATGACCTGGGTGGTTTCAGTCTGTGACATTCAATATGACATCATTGTATATTTCTTCTGTTTGTTTTTGCATAGTTGTTTTAATCTAATGAACTCTGAAGGTTGATAGAAAGGTGCTGTTAATATTATTACTATTATTATCATCATCATTGTAATTTCCATTTTGGGCAATACTAAGTAAAGACCACCCCTTTCTTTCTTCATGGCCAACAATTGTATGTGAGTTTAGAAACAATAATGTCCTGTCTTTGCAACACAATATTCTTGGGGCCCTTGGGTGGCACCATTGGTTAAGCATCTGACTTTTTTTTTTTACTTTTCTTTTTTCTTCTGTCTTCTTTTCTTTTCTCTTCTTTTCTTTTTTCTTTTCCTTTTTTTCTTTTCTTTTTTCCTTTTTTTCTTTTTTTTTTTCCTTTTTGTTAATTGAAATTCAAGTTAGTTAACATACAGTGTAGTCTTGGCTTCAGGAGTAGAACCCAGTGATTCAGCTCTTAAATATGACACCCAGTGCTCATCCTGAAAAGTGCCTTCCTTAATGCCCATCCCCCATTTAACTCTTCCCTCCCCACATCTCCCCTCCAGCAACCCTCAGTTTGTTCTCTTAATTGAAGAGTCTCTTATGGTTTGCCTGTGTCTGACTCTTGATCTCAGCTCAGGTCTTGATCTCAGGGTCAACATAATGTTCTTATAGGATTATGAATTTCCTTCATATAGGCTCCTGGAAGAACTAATTAGATGGCAGCTATCATTGCAAATATACAAAAAAAAAAAAAAAAAAAAAAAAAAGAATATAGTGCATTTGATGCTTTCCAAGAGGTTTTCATTTGTAAGTATTTGTAAGTAAGCATACTAACAAGTTTTTGTGAGCCTCTGTCTTGTTTATATGTTGATAGTCAACAAATGTACTATAGCTACCTGATAAACAGCAACTTTACTATAAACTAAATATAAATACAACCCTCATGCAAATATTACAATTGAACTTACAATGACAATGACAAAATATGTATCAGAGTTTTGTTTACATCATAAATGCCTCTTTTTCAGTACTTTTAAGAATATACATTGAACATTTTTCATTAATCACTATGATAATGCATGCCTTAATATACACCCAAACATAGCTTCACAAATGTTAACGTGTTCACTGAAAAACCATTACTGGACTTGAATCCATCACCCTCTGTCTTTACAACACTTTTAGTGAAAAGCGAACTTCTCTAGCTTTTATATTCTATTGACTGATCGAAAATCGCCATATTAGATTTCAGCGTCACTTAACTACATGCTCTCTAATAGCAAATTTTAAAAACACGAAAAGTAAATTTAAAAATCAAATTTAGGGGCGCCTGGGTGGCTCAGTCAGTTAAGCGTCCAACTTCAGCTCAGGTCATGATCTCTCCTGCTTGCGGGTTCAGGCCCCACATCCGGCTCTGTGCTGACAGTTCAGAGCCTGGAGCCTGCTTCGAATTCTGTGTCTCCCTCTCTCTCCGCCCCTCCCTTGCTCTCTCTCTCTCTCTGTCTGTCTCTAAAAAATAAATAAACATTAAAAAGAAATCAAATTTAAAAGGAATTTGTTGTAAAAAGATATCAAAGAATATCTCAAACCACAGCAGGACCAAATCCATTAAGATCTGTCCCCTCCTCCCCAAAAAAGAGTGAACATGGAAAGAGTTCATTGAAAGGAAATCAATAGCAATCGAGAATAGATACAGGGGATGGGCCTGACTTTAACCGAAAAGGCCAGTTTTAACATTGTACCCAAATACATGAGAAAAAAAAAAAAATCAAATCCACAGATGGAAAAAAAAAAAAAAAAAAAAACAGTGAAACTATCATGCAAACAAACGTTTGATTAAAAATTGTGTTCCTCAGCACAAACCCACAGCAGCCAGGTGACCACAGCTCTGGAAAAACCTCAGCTTAAAGCAGCCCCTGGTTCTCTAGCTCAAGTGCTCAACACAGCCTATTTTACTGCACTTTAATACCGCATCCTAAAAAGCTTGTGAAATAGTATACAGACTCAGGGGCCAGGATGGAGTCCCAACACACTTTACACATCTGCCTTCCACAGTTGGTTGTAATCTAGGACCAGAGAGGGAGGGAGAGCTAGCATAATGAGTCACAGGGTTTCTCCTCTTTGGTATACTTATGTGGTCAAATGTTCTTCCTGAGCCAGAGCGGTGATCTAGCCACTTCTTTCTAGATCTTCACAATTAATGTTTCCACGGCAGATAAAATTGATCTCTTTTATTAAATTGTGTGAGTCCAAGTGTCACTCACAAAAATGAGACATGTTCATTTGGAAAGCTGGGTTTTTGGTGGTTTTTTGTTTGTTTTTTGGGAGGTGGGGGGAGCTGGATTTTTAAAAACCTGGTTAATTCTTGGGAATTCAGTTTTATGACAAACGTGCTAGATGACAAAAAACACACCTGCTGGCCGTTGTGACTTTACACATGTAGTCACAGGACTCCAAGGGACTTTGGGAGCACCTGGCAACCCTGGTCCATCACATGCCCGGGCTCTCAGGGTAGGACTGGAGCCATTTTCAGCTCCACTCGAACCTCACATACATGCTTCACTGTCAGCTGATTCTCCTGCTTGTCATCACAGTGAAAGAAATGGAAGCAGAGAGAAGGGTATGTCTTCAGCCTTCAGGTCTCTGCCTGAAATGCGCGTCTCTGTCTCCACCTGGGCGCGCAGGTTTCCCTCCTGTGAATGTAGCTAGGATGCCCCCCTCCCTCCATTTGTAGCCTGGGCGCCTTCCCTTCTCATCTATTCAAGGCCTCTTCTTCTTTATTTATCCCCTCTCTCCTACATTGTCTATTTTTTCCTCTCGATGGGATCGTCCCCATCTGCTCATAAACATGCTGAACTACCTCCCGCTAACAAAAGAAAGAAAACTACAAAGAAGAAAGTTGGGGAGGAAAGCAAAACAAAACAAAAAACAGCTTCCCTTGACCTTGTATATTTCTCCAGCCGTTACTTCATGTATCTCCTCCCCTTTTTATCAAAACTTGTCGAAAGGTGTCCCTGTCTTCTCAGCCCCAAATTCTCCGTTGAATCTCCCCGAGTTGGGCACCCCCCCCCCCCCGAGGCGTGCTTTCCCAGGTCAACTCTGTTTTCTCACACTTTCTCCAAGTAGTACTTGACAGGGCATCACTCGGTCACTTGTTCCACTTGGCTAAGTAACCACTCATCTCTGTCTTTTCTCCTACCTCACGGACAGCTCCTTCTGGTCTCCCTTTAATGCTTTTCTTGTCTCCCGATGTTGCAGCCTCCCACCTGCCTCTTCACTCAATTCCTGGGGGACCTCGTGCAAGCCTGTACTTTTAAATACCTATCTCTGCAGAGGGCTTCCAAATTTCCCCCCTCAGGCCTTGACCTTCTCCCACAGCTCCAAACCCACATATACAGCTTCCTACTCTTTTCCCCACTTGGGGTGTATCCAGTAAGGCATTTGAAACATATTGCGGCCAAAACTGAACTCTTAAGTTTTGCTTTTCCCCTGGACTCTCACACTTGTTTCTGCTTCAGGGCCTTTGCCCTGGCTCTGTTTCCCCAGGCATCCATGTGCTTTACCTTCTAAACTCTTCTAGATTTCTGAGGAAACGTTACCTCCGCGGAGAGGCCTTCCCTGCCTATCCTTGCTAAAATGGCACCTATCCCTGTCTGCACGGGTATATTCCTTTACTTTCTTTTCCCATCAACTTAACTGTGCCTGGCATTGAAATATGTTTGGTTTTTTTGTTTGTTTGTTCATGTGTTTGTTTTACCTTCTGTCTCTCTTCCTGGGTTGGAAGTTCCTAGAAAGATAATTTTTTTTCCTGTTTAGTTCATCGTTACTTTCACAATGTCTAGGAAGGACCAGACATGAAGTAGATGTTCAATATGCGAATACATGAATTAATGAATGTTAGAAAAATGACGTACTGTCAATGAAATTTTAAAAAATTTGTTAATGTTTATTTATTATTGAGAGACAGAGAGACAGAGCATGAGCAGAGGAGGGGCAGAGAGAGAGGGAGACACAGAATCCGAAGCAGGCTCCAGGCTCCAAGCTGTCAGCACGGAGCCCAACGCAGGGCTCCAACCCACGGACCGTGAGATCATGACCTGAGCCAAAGTTGGATGCTCAACCGGCTGAGCCACCCAGGTGCCCCTGTAAATGAACATTTTTATCTCACTAACTGCATTAATTCTAGTCCTAGTGAATAAATAGGTAGATGATAGGTATAGATAGATAGATACATGATAGATAGATATCTATAGATATCTATAGATAGATGATGATAGATAGATAGATAGATAATGATAGATGATAGATAGGTGATACATAGTGAGATGAATAGATTAATAATGATAGATATTGACAGATAGATAGATAGATAGAGGAATGGAGAAAGGGAGGCAAGGAAAGAAGGGAAAAGTAAAACTAATCAAAAAATGAGGCCATGGTTTAGAAAGAGAATTATTGTTCATTGCAATGAACTCTGGGTAAGATGTACAAACAGAAGATAGGGATCATGTATGGGTTCTGCTACTTAATAATCACATGATTGTAGGTAAGATATTTCATTCAGCATTTGAATGATAACGTTGTGAAAAGAGGTACACGGGAGATTTTTCCCTTTTAAAATTCTGTGTGCTACATCTGTAATTTACAGTGACATTATACCTCTAAGTGAGGCAGCCTCACAATGTCTTAACAGTGATACGGATTTGACTAGGAAGAATGGGTACTTTTTTTTTAGACAATAAAAATAGAGACGGGCACCATGTACTGGCCATTTGCTCTGGGCTAAGTATTGTCTTGGGCACTTTTGCATGCAATGAGTCATTAATTGTCACAACAGTTGTAAGAAATGAGTACTTTTACCCCTATTTAATAGATAAGGAAACTGAGTTTGAGGACTTTGTGTGAGGGCACACTGCTAGAAATCCAGAGAGCTGGGACTAAAATTCAGACCAGTCAACCTCCCGGATTTCAGTCTAAGTTAAATGAGAGAGTGTACTAAAGAGAGAGAGAGATGCAAAGAGACTACCTTACAGAGAATAGAGACAGACACAGAGACAGAGAAATTAATAGGTATAAAGAAGACCAAGAAACAGATGAAGAAAAAAATCCATACTAGCACAGCAATACATCTGTGAGAATTTGTTAAACTCTCTTGTCTCTCTCTCTCTCTCTCTCATTCTACATACACACACACACACACACACACACACTACTTATGAGAGATTTTTGGAACTTCATTTTTTTTACCAATAGCTTCATCCTTGATTAAAGCTGTAGCCCCGATCAGACAAACACTGATAATATAAATCAGTGGCCATAAAATTTCTGAATTTGTTACAAAATATATCATTTAATCCCAAGTAGATAGTACACTGGGATGGTGGCCAGTCCTGTCTTTCTCTGTTCTTCACATCAGGATGGTGACATAGTAGAATTTAGAAATTAAAAAAAAAAAATCATTTAAACAAATATCACAAGTCTTTGAAAAGCATAAAGCTCATGAGATTATAACACATATTTTACAAAGCAAATCTTTACTTATTATAAAAATTGTGTTTATTAAGCTGTTTCTATATAGGCATAAATGTGATTATTCTAATATAGTATCGGTGACTGATGCCTAAATTCTGGTTGCTTTCTCTTACTAAGGGATTCCTGAATTAATAATTAGATTATCAATGGACAGGATCCAGACTTCCGTGTTTATATTTGTAGATAAAGAATGGCAACCTAAATGAGCTTTAATTCCATCTTCTAAATACGTAATTCACACTGAGGTAGCAAAGGGAAAATCCAGTATGGGATCCATACCTAGACCACTGTTGTTTTTCAGTGTATGTTAGTTTCTGATGTGAGTGGTGCCCATTACATTTTGTTTATAGCCCTTATTGGCAAGGTGCTTCCCAACTTAATTTTCCAAATATCCTTCCATAGTAGTGGGGAGAAAATAAAAATTTAATAGATTTACTTCATGGAAAAAAAAAAAAATGTGTTCTCTTGTGACCACAAGGTGGCACAATGGTGACCAAGAATATTCAACATCCTAATAGAATTGCAATTACCAGAGGCTTTTACATAATTGCTGTTATTAATACTGTGCCTCATTATCATTATGGTATTTCAGAAGACCAACGTGTCACCTTAGTGGTTGGTGAAAAGATAAGTGCTTTTATTTATTTTTTATCATCCTCCGTCTGCCTGTTAAATTATTAATATTTTGCTTTCTCCCAAACCCCAACCCCAGAAAGGACAAGTAGGTGTGTAGATCCTTCATTTAATAATTGTCCAAAGCTTTAAAACAAGGAATAATGACTTAGATAAGGTACATATCTGGAGAAGGATAAACAAAACTATATAATTTTTTGATGTATGTGACGTTGTTTTTGAGCTTGTTTAAATCATCCTATGACCATTCTAATATCTATTTGTGATACAGGAATACAAAAGCCATTCTAGAAACTTCAGTTTACAGTGAAAGTTCAGATCTGTTATTTGCAAATGGGTTTTTCCCTGGTCTGACATCAGACATGATCTTGGGAAGAGCACCCAGGATATTCCAATGTGCTGTCCACCTATTTTATGATTGTTTGGTATTGAGATTAGACCATCTCTCCTCATGCTCAGGGGACTCAGAGTCCACTGGTGCCTGGAAAGCGAGATGCTGCAATCATACAATTATATAATCAAACAATTATATTTATATAATTGTATGTATACAATTATATACTATCATCAAACAATTATATTTATATAATTGTATGTATACAATTATTTATATAATTGTACGTATACAATTATATACTATCATCAAACAATTATAGTTATCATGAGGGTATAAAAGAGCAGTCACTTTTTCCCAGCTGAAAACAACACAGGCTGGCCAGATACAGTTGTTCGACTGTTCACTGCATAAATCACCATCTGAAGAAGCACCTGAGTAGTGATACAAAGGGTTAGTAGCATCCTTCACTGAAAAGTTTTCCCTCAACTTCCATAGATCAAGTGTCTTGGCATTTCACAAAATTTAATAGCATATTTGATGTCCTTTATGAATTTGTCATAAATGATGCATAAATTTGCATCATTTTAAAATGCCTTAAATTTTCCTGCTAAAACAGATCCAATTTCAGAAAAAGACAGTAATATCAGACCTGAAAACGAAGTTCTACAAATATTATTGTAGGTGAATTGTCAGTGTATTATCATGGGAAGTAAAAAGGCACATCCCAATTACACATTCAAGCAGGATTTTATAAGAAGTAGAAAATAACACGAAAACTAGAACTTGCCTATAAAATTCAGTTAGTACAGTAATCATGAGAATAGGAAAGTTTGCAGTAAATTACTTATGCTGTTGAAAGAAAGCATGAAAAGCCAACAAGAAATTTAAAAAGAATCAGGGTGATGGGGCACCTGGGTGGCCCAGTCGGCTAGGTATCTGACTTCGGCTCAGGTCATGATCTTAGTGGTCCATGGGTTTGAGCCCTGTGTCGGGCTCTGTGCTGACAGCTCAGAGACTGAGGCCTGCTTCAGATTCTGTGTCTCCCTCTTTGCCCCTCCACTGCTCTGTCTCCCACTCTCTCTCTCTCTCTCTCAAAAATAAACAAACAAAAAGAATCAGGGTGGGAAGTAGGAGGGAAAATCACATTTTGAGGCCACAAGGAACCGTGGGGTAACAAAAAGTAACATCCCTGCCATTAGTGTTGAGAAACAGTGGACGAGAGAGGGTGAGTAACACCCTCAAATCCCACAGCTAATTAGTGGCAATGCTGGGACGAAAATCAATTACTCCCGGAGGCAGGAAGAAAATACATCCAGAATGTTGTTTGGACATCAAAAAAAAAGCATGGCTGTTTTTTAAAAAAAAAAAAAAAAAAAATTGGGATAATACAGCATAATTATCCTACAGCTACTAGTGCTTTTGCTTTCAAATCCCTTTGAAAGATGCTATTATTACTGATTTATATGAAGGAAAACAGGGAATATTAGTTTATTGAGCAACTCCTATGTGCCAGGTAGTTTTGTCTATGCCTGTATATACATACATATTTATGTACATGCATGTATGTGTGTGTGAATATGCTGGTACACACTTCGCAATTGGCCCACAAGGTAAATATTATTATCTGCATTTACACTTCTAAAGAAATTGATGTTCAGTGACAACTGAGAAATTGCCAAGTTCACATGACCGGCAAGGGTTTTTGTTTGTTTGTTTGTTTTTTAGGGTTTATTTATTTTTGAGAGAGAGGGACAGCGTGAACGGGGAAGGGGAAGAGAAGGAGGTGGTCAGAGAATCCGAAGCAGGCTCCAGGGTCTGAGCTGTCAGCACAGAGCCCAACGTGGGGCTCGAACTCCCAAACCTTGAGATCATGACCTGAGCTTAACCAACTGAGCCACCCACCAAGTCAGCCGCTTAGCCAACTGAACCACCCAGGCGCCCCTGGACACACTTGTAATTTGAACCCACTTCTGTCTGACATAAAGTCTATGACCATCCTACTACCGTATGTCTTACCTTAAAGAAAAAGAATGGTTTTTCCTTCATCCCAGATGAGTTGCAACATGTCTTTTCTGGCACATGAAACGTGGTTTTCAGTCTTCTGGGTGCTTTGCAGACTCATGGGGCCCAGCACCTTGTAAGTCAGCAGTTTTTCCGGGTTCAGTTAGCTGCGGCTTGATTGGTCGTGATGGGTCGTTGCTGGATAATGATCCTGCTTCTCTTAGAACCCCTTTACTTTGCTGGAACATGTTGAGAAGTTTGGACATAATCATGACATTATGTTATAAAATGGTTAAACAGTGGTTGAAACTGCGTAAATGCAATGTCTCCTAGGTAGTTTATACCGCAGAGTATCCTGTATGATCCAGGCTAATGTTTCCTTCATTTAGTACTGTCACTAAGCCTTCGGTGTATGTGAGTAGAGTGGTATTTTCATTCTCAGTGCACCATTGTACTGAATCCTGATGCTTCACACAACGGGGAGGAAGTGTGGTTTACTTAATCCGAAGTGGTTTTGATAAGAAAGTACGCAAATAATTTATATTGGGATGAGAATAATTTATATTCCTTCTACCAAATTCCAAATGACACTTTTTAATTTCTTTTTTTTTTCTTTTCTCTTGCTTTCCTTTTTTTTTTTTTTATTGGCTTAAGTCAATGTCAAAGGTCAAGGAATGTAAATTAATTGACAGAACACTAAAGGAGAGGAGTTTGCTGCTGGCCACAACAGCACGCACTTTCCTAGCACTCACGACGTGCCAGACGTTGCCGTAAGCATTTTACAGATGTTACTGCACTTAATCCTTGCAGTGACGGTGAGGTGGTTTCTATTCTGTTCCTCACTTCGCAGCTGAGAAAACTGGGGCACAGGGAGATTAAGTAAATTGCCCAAAGTCACACAGCAGGAAAACAGTAGAAATGAGATCTAAACCTAGGCAGTTCGTTTCTGAAGGCTCCACTCTTCATGACAGCTTAATATGGCAAGGAAAACTCTAGGTAGGGCAACGAAGAATCAGAAATGCTAAGTCGTTTGCTCTAAGTTGCACAATTTATAAGATGAGCAATTGAGCAATTGCCGTCAGCCCAGATCTGTGTAACCCCTCAGGTTGGCCTCCTTTCCTTGAAGGGCCTGCCTCAAAACTCCAGTGTCACTTGGATGGCTCCGTCCATTAAGCATCCAGCTCCTGACTTCAGAGTTCCTGGGATCCAGCCCCACTTCGGGCCCTGTGCTGACAGTGCAGAGTCTGCTTGGGATTTTCTCTCTCCCTCTCTCTGCCCCTCTCTCACTCTCTCTCTCAAAAATAAAGAGAAAAAAAAAAAAAAAACACAACCCACAGCAGTGTCCATTTAATGGGCGATAAATCCCATGCCGCATTGTGTTTGTTTATTCCCTAAGGGCAGCCCCGCCAGAGGACTAAATGTTCCTGCTTCCAAGGCAAAAGGCCTGGTGACTGTGGATTAATGCACGGGGATGTGCATTAGCAGTGCCCTGGAAAGCGGTGAGCCCCTTTAATGCAATCATTTTTGTTTACATCTTGGAGAAGATCATCCTTACTCATCATGGCTCTTATCAGCTGTTTCCCACATAATTTTTTTCCTTGCTCACTCTCTTGTCTCTCTAAATAATCAATGACCAACTAACAGTTCATTTCAGAAGCCCTTCTAGAAAATAACGGGCTTCTTTTTTAACAAAGTGTGTTGAGACGATTGTTTTTCCCATTTAATGATTACATAATGAAAACAACTCAACCTCAGCGTCAGAACTGCTCATTGCCCATTCAGAAGAGCCTTGGGCATTGATGGTTGTGTCTTCTTCCTCTGCGGCCCCTCCATGGCCGTGTCTCTTTGGGCAGACAACCTCTCTAATGCTGGAGGTTATGCAAAATAGAATTTGATTAAACGAGTTGATATCTCTCTGATGCCCCAAAAGTTGCTGATTGTGGAACTGGCAACGGGCAGCTGTGTCCTTAACCTGTCCCCTATAGCTGGCCTCCCTTTCCCACACAAACTGGTATCAGATGGAACCAACAGGTAGCAGAATAAATAATTGATCGATAACATGTGTTTCTAATTCAAACAAAGAGCCTTTACCCACAGTACATAGTGCATGTGACTCAAGTATTTTATGTGGAATTTGTAAGTTTCTGATCACACTCTGTAAAGAAGTTTTCACAGGGTCAAACCTCTTGGGGCTCTGTCTGTCCCAAGTTCAAGTTACTTAGATAGTGATTAAGGATGTTTTATAGGCCCCTGTGGTAAATGATAGCATAGAGGAAAAGCATTCCTTGACCATGTAATTTAGCAAGACTTAATCTGTTTGGATTTTCATCCACTGGGCTTGCTGAAAACTTTAAATGATTAACCTGTTTCTCTGCAGCCTACAGAGGCTCCAAAGTTAGCATCCAGGGCCTGAGTTCAGTGATTACCCAGCTTGGGTTGCCTTTTTTTTTTTTTTTTTTTTTTTTTTTTTAGAAGCTCCTTAATCTCAGTCCAGCTCCTTTTTCTTAGGATGACAGATAGACTCTAGATGCAGCATTCTTTCACTGTGCAGTATTTATAAAATAGCATAAATCAATGAGACCAAACAACAAGAGGGCAATAGTTTATTTAGCTCAGTTTATTTAAAAATATCCACCAGGTACTCAGCAACTACGAGTCCGTTGAACATCAAAACGTGTAGCCTTGTCAACTTCAACCTTCGGTCTCCGCACGAAAGATCCCAAACCCCAGGCACCGCCATTCCCGAGGAAAGGGGGCAGCACAGGTGATATGATAGGATAGATACTGCTTGCCCTCTGCCAAATTCACAGCCCAAGTCCTAAAAGGATTGTGTTAAATTGCTTAAGAAAAGTAGGAGCCATGCAAGACGAACTTGGGAATCCTCTTGGTTCTAAGGGGTTTCTTACTGAAGAAACGCTCCAAAGCAATGCAGACCAATGATGGTTTCCTGGCAACCGTGATTTTTGCCTCTTCCGGAAAATGGAGGCCCTCGCTTGCTCTCTGCCCACAGATTTATCTGAACTGAATCTCAGTTACCAGCTTTCATGTTCAAAGGCCTCGTGCCCGGGAGAATTTCTGCAGAGAATTTGCCAAACACCTCCCTGCGGTTTAATCTGTCCGTGTTGTCTGTGTCATTATCCTTCCTTGTATATTCTGTATGTGGCACCCCCAAGTTCTTTTTTCTGGAATATAGGTCACGCTGCTGATTTCAAAATGAAAGTGAGAGAGGAAAGAAAGGCCACACCAAATTTAGAATTGAGGGAGGGCTTTGTGATTTATAGGGTACCAAGGGTGTGTAGGATGGTTTCTGGGAACGCACAGGTGAAGCTTACCTTAAAAAAAAAGAAAGAAAGAAAGAAAGAAAGAAAGAAAGAAAGCAAGCAAGCAAGCAGAGGGGCTTATCCACATGCCTTGCAGAACATTCAAGCAGAAGAATCAGAGCTTGTAATGAATGGAAACAACAGACTATTTTAAGCCAAAATAAAATTTGGTGCCTCATTATTTAGGCCCAGAGAGTGGCCCAGAGAATCTGCTTGACACATATCCTGGCCAACTCAGAAGTCATGAAATACAAAGATCCAAAGTAAGGGTCTAGATTCCTTGGTCTGTATTTAGAGCCCACTTGAATAAGTTGATGCAGTTTGGTCTCACTAGGAGCCTGAGAAGGGTTATTAGCAGAGTTTTGCTTTTTTTCCCAAGCTGTACTTATGCTTGCTTGCCTGAGTCTCTGTGGATTTCGGTCACTTGCCCTAGTGAAAGTCCTACTGATATAAGTCCGGGGGAGGGAAGGGAGAAGATAAAGGGCGGCCCCAGAGCACTCCTAGTCAATCTTCTTATCAAGGTCACTCAGCCGTCAGTGTCTCAGAGGGCTTTCCAGGCCCAAAGTAATTCTTTTGTGTTTGTTTTACAATATACTGGCATTTCCTCAAACGCCCAGAAAATATGTGCTTTCCACAGAGACCCACTCCATCAGATGGAGTACAAGTTGAACTCCATCAAGTACAAGTTGGACCCAAGTGGTCCCTTTATGCATACTCTCCTATGTTTCCCTCTCACTGTTCAGTTAGAAACCATTTATTTCCACTCATGCAGAAGAAGTCCGGAGATCTGCAATCTTGGGCTGCCTCTTTCCTACTTTCCTGACGTCCCTTTAAGGGGTGTCCGTGAGGTCTAGGGGAGAAGGATTGATGCAGGGAGTAAAAGGACGTGTGCCACCTCAGACCCAGCGAGAGAGCTTTCTTAGAGGTCACATCCAAGGAACCCTACTGACATCTCCTGGGCCAGATCCATGCCAAGTAAGTATTACCCCCACCCCACACCCCCGCCTGCCACCCCTCACCCCCGCCTGCCACCCCTTAGCTGCAAGGGAGACTGGGAAGCATAGTTGCAAATTTTTTTTTTTTTTTTTTTTTAGTCTGGCAAGTTGCTGTCCCATTTGGGAACTGGTTAGTTAGGAAGAAGCAGAGAATGAGATAGATATTTGATGCTATGGAAATTAAAAATATCCACCCCACTGTTTTGTTGTGGGGGCTAAGTGTACATGTGCAAAGCATAAGGTGCTTGATAAGCTGGTGGTACATGAAACAGCATGTCCTTCTCTCTCCCAGATCTCCCTCCCTCTTCAAGGGCCAAGTTCACAGGTGGGGCACACAGCAGAGAATGCCTTGACGCCATAGTGTGTTTCCCGTCTAATTCAGTCCACTGAATACTTTCATCTTGAGGGACAAAATAGCTGCCATAAGAAAGAATATTCGACCTACTTCTCATCATGGACAGAGCTTTTGAAACTAGAATGCCATTTTGCATGGAGACTTCTTGCAAAGATTACAGAAACACAACTGCTAATTCGGATATAGCTGTTCTACAAGCTGTTAAAAACCCATAAAAATGTTTATAGTTCTGCCTATGTTCTAATTCTGTAAGAGAGCATCTCCTTTTTTTTTTTTTTTTTTTTTTGGTGCTCTGCACCCAACGCTGACCACATCGGCAGAGTTTGTACTAATCTGAAATACAGGCATATGCACACAATTTTTGCATTACTTTGAGATCTTTATTATTAAGTAACTCATTGGGGCATCAAAGTATGTTATAAATCTAAACAGAAAATTAGGGACAAATGTTACATGTGAATGTCTATTTTACATTTTATTCTGGGTAGGAGGTCTTAAGGGTGGAGACAGAGCACAGCAGAATGTACTCATTGATACGTCTATTCTGATACTAACAAAACCAGAATCATGGCTAGGCAGAGTCTAGGAAGCAAGGCAAAATGAAGTGAAACTAGATGTGTGTGAAACGAGCTTAAAAAGTCAGGGGAAGGGCATTTGGATCTGTCGTGATGCTGGTTGTTTGCTACTTGGTAGACCGTAGTACTCTAATTTAGCTGAGTAATCGCGGCTACAAATCCAAATCTGCAATGCATGTGTAATTTTAAAAATGGGTTTTGCATTTCTGAAGCCAAATAGGAAAAAAATTGCATTCTTTAGATCTCTGATATTAAGCTTCAGGACAGTTTTACAACTTGGGACCTGAGCAAAACTCTTATCCATAAAACAACAGGAATAAAAGATTTGCACATGTGCATTTAGAAAGTAACTTCATTGCTCATAGTCAAAAGAAAAAGAGGAAAAGGAAGGGAGGAAGGGAGGATGGAAAAAAGAAAAAAGAAGAAGAAAAAAAGAAAAACACTTCACATACCTACCTATTTCACTTTTATTGGTAAGCACAGACTATGTGATTCAGTTCAATTTACTTGTGTGCTTTAATTTAAATGGAGAGAGGGGGATAGGGAGCTTTTCCAGAGAAAGCAAAAACTGTGTGTGTACATATATTTAAATAAAATAAACAAAGAAACACTGGGGCATATACTTATTGTCAGCTCAGCAGCAACGTAAAAAAAGAAAGAAAGAAAACAGATAACTCTGAATGCAGCTAATAACTGTTTGATTTAAAATTTTTTTAATGTTTATTTATTTTTGAGAGAGACAGAGACAGAATGCGAGTGGGTTGGGGCAGAGAGAGAGGGAGGCACAGAATCTGAAGCAGGCTCCAGGCTCCGAGCTGTCATCACAGAGCCTGATGCAGGGCTCGAACTCGCGAACTGTGAGATCATGACCTGAGCCGAAGTCGGACGCTCAACCGACTGAACCACCCAGTCACCCTTTAACTGCTCGATTCAGAAAGCTTAAAGTGTCTTTTTACTCATAAGGGATTGGGCTTAAAGTAAACATGATTAACATCTTTTAACATAGAAACAGGGCATACAAATTTATCTCATGTCCTAAAATTTAAGCAATTCCATAGCACTTAGCTTATCCATTTAATAATATGCATAAAAATCACATTAATTCTATTTCACAAAATCTTCTATCTACATGATTGTTCCAAGTTCAAAGGAAGAGTTTCTTAAAATCTAGAATTCATGGGGCGCCTGGGTGGCTCAGTCGGTTAAGCGTCCGACTTCAGCCAGGTCACGATCTCGCGGTCCGTGAGTTCGAGCCCCGCATCAGGCTCTGGGCTGATGGCTCAGAGCCTGGAGCCTGTTTCCGATTCTGTGTCTCCCTCTCTCTCTGCTCCTCCCCCGTTCATGCTCTGTCTCTCTCTGTCCCAACTCCTCCCCCGTTCATGCTCTGTCTCTCTCTGTCCCAAAAATAAATAAACGTTGAAAAAAAAAAATCTAGAATTCAAGTCATTTATGTCTTGTAAAGTGACCAAGACAGGAAGCATACCTAACTGCTTCTGGGCACACATAAGTATCTTTCCCCTGCCCTCCCTCCATTATGCTCCCCACCCCCCATGCCACACACACACACACACACACACACAAAAACAGCTCCATCTTCCAAGAGAAGACGAGAGGTGGGCAAAGGAAGCCCCTTATCGTTCATTGCCTTATTTCTGCTCTTCTACATAAAGCCCTTTCTTTGTTGCAGTCAACCAAGGCATTTTAGAGAGAAATACTGCTCTGAATCATGTCCACTCTTCTGCTTTATCAGTGAGAAACAAAGCAAAACAAAACAAACCAACTTCTAGCACTCAACGATCATCACCTGGGTAAGTGGCAGGTGTCCATTTCTGACCGCCACTGCTTCTTTCTGCTGATACCAAGACACTACGAGGGGCAAACATCAAACCTGCCAGGTGACTTCAGTTAAATATCTTAACGTTACAATCTACTGGATGCATTTCTCGCATACCTTGGTTGGATGACAAGATGCTTTTATGGGAAACTACTATCGATGTAAAAAATTTGTTATTTATGCTGGCTGCCCATCTTCCTATTTTTATTTATTCCAGTACCCTACCTTTGTTCTCCATTACTGAATACCATACCCCCTATTGAAGATACAACTATATGGTGTAATAAAAGGAGATGAAATTTAAACTAATCAAGTAGGCTCTTAATAGCATCCCTAATACAAAATTTGCTAGCAAAGAAAAAAAGAGTTTAAACAATTGGGTACTATGTCATGTTTAGATGATCTTTCACCAGATTTAACATGTTCTTCTTATCCCCATCACCATGGCACATAGCTATAATATCCCTTAAAAGCCCCTGTATAACTACTCGCCTCAAGGTGACTGGCTACAGAGTAAAATGATTGGGTGGGAGCCCTCGTGATCACAATTTGAACTACATTTGGGATTCTACAGAGATTCTATTTAAAGTCAAGACAGCTTTCTGATAAGGTGCTTCCTTACACTCATCCGTGGCCGAGGTGGTGGTCTCCTCCGGGTTTTCACAACTGCTGACAATGGCAACCGCGCTAAATGACCTTCTTCTGACCTTGGTGTCTGACGGGCCGGGTCCTCGGACCGGAGGGGTTTTTTCCATGTTGTGGAGCTGCTGGTCTTTCCAGTCCAGTTGTTTGGCACTGCAGAAGGGGGCATAGACTTCCACGCTCCCCTCAAACTGTAAGCAGTTCACCTTGTAATACTTTCTCTTAACTTCCAGGACGTCATTGAACCTGTGGCCCCAGAGAATTTCTCGGGGAACGTAGGAACTTCTGGATTGGTGGGAAGTCCCCGTGGAATCACCAGTATAGATAAATGTCACCAAAATCTCAAAGTTATCTTTGGCCACTGCTTTTCGGTCAAGGGCATACAGAGGGCTCTCATGGTCAATTTCATGAACAATAGTTACTGGTGTGACAAGAATGATCTGATCATTCACCAACTTTAGGTCTTTAAAGGCCATCGTCATCCGCCCTTCGCTGTCTTCTGTGTAGCGGAGAAGTTGGGCTCTCACTGTGCCTTCTACCACGTGGTTTGGTCGGAAGTCACCAATGCGCCACATGAGGCAGAGTTTCCCATCCCTCATCCCTATGAGTGCAAAATAGCTAAACCGAATGGTTTGGGCTCTCTTTCGAGCGGTTGCCATTTTGGCTAAGGCGGCTCCAATGATGAAGGTATTTATGATGCAGCTCAAGATGGACTGAAGGATCACCGTGAGCACGGCCACAGAGCATTCTTCAGTGACACAGCGGTAACCGTAACCTATGGTGGTCTGGGTTTCCAGGGAGAATAAAAACGCCCCTGTGAAGGAATGGACGTTGTCAACACAAGGTGTGATGTGTGGATCATTTAACAGATCACCGTGATGAAAGGCAATGAGCCAGAAGACAGAGCCAAATATCAACCAGGAGAGAATATAGGATAAAGAAAATATCACAAACATGTGCCGCCACTTGGTATCTACGAGGGTGGTGAAAATGTCAACCACGTAGCTCCCCCATTCTCCAAAAATGTGCTTGAAGTACACATTACAGCTGCCATCTTTGTGGAGCAGACGTCTTCTGGCTCTTGTCTTCTCAGCTATGATGTGCTCTGGGGGGTAGCCTGGGTATTTGGGGTCCACGTTTACAATCGGATAGCTGCTGCCGTAATAGCTCATCCTTTCCTATGTCCTTCAAGCATCCAGGTGGATTTCGTAACAGTAATAGTTCTATTCCTATCTGTTGATTTAAGTTTTCAGTTAAGATCTGCAAAAAAAGAAAATTAAATACACTTCAGCTTTAGATTTTAATTTCCATCTTTGTAGCAATTTGCCAAATTTGAAGCAATTTCATGCCGTCTGAAATGGTGAAGACTTCATTTGAACGGCAGAGACATTCAGTATTGATTACTCCTTTCAGTTTAGAATTCAGCTCAGTCATTATAGGAACAAAATATGTAATTAGAGAAAATAACATTTTTATATATGCACAAGGCTTGGGTAAACACTATGATTATCCCAAATGAAGACTCACTACCTTTTCTGACCTGATATAAACAAAAGTCTTGGTTGTTGTTTTTTTTTTTTGGCTCTTCTGACATGAGGGCACTTAGAAAACAAAGCCATCTATAATGTAAAAAGGCAAAACACAATTCACATATTTGAATAGCAGCCTTATCAGCCTTCTGTTTAAGTCAGATGGTTTTTCTTCTTCCTTTTTCTTAATGTTTTTATTTATTTTTAAAAGAGAAGGAGAGAGAGGGCACGCAAGGCAGGGGAGGGGCAGAGAAGGGAGACAGGATCTGAAGCAGGCTTTGCCCTGAGAGCAGAGAGCCCAGTGCAGGCTCCAGCTCAGAAACGGGGAGATCACGGCCTGAGCCTAAGTCAGACGCTTAATTGACTGAGCCCCTCAGGCACCCCCAGATGGGTTTTCTAAAAAGGAAGCAATGAAGCATCACCACCTTCATGCTAACATGTAACTTACATACTCGTTGCCGCAGACTTTCACCTCCAGCGCCTGATGCCTCCCTTCTCTTCCACGGAGGTTTTGCTTCCTTGTATACTTCCCAGGACAGAACAGAACTGACAGGGATGCTATTTCAGATTCAAGTCCTTTCCCCTAGCCCCTTTGGTTTTAAGAGGAGAAAAAAAAAAAAAAAATCTTAACCCCAGAGGAGTTAAAACCACGCCCAGGTAAGCTTTCAATAAGGTATAAAATTGCTTCTGCTTTTGTCTCATGACATCCATCCTTTTTTTTTTTTTTTCCTCTTCTTTTTTTGGACACTGCAATCTCTTCTCTTTCCCTCTCAAAAGAAGCCGACAATTTGCCAAAGTTCTAATCTTGTTTCCCTCTTAAAGGGAGCTTACTACAATTGGACCCTTCTCTCCAGCTCTGACATGTATTTCTGATGTTTTCACAGCCATCTGTAAGCAAAATCATTTTTCCCCCTCCCAATTCAGTCTTTAAAAGATCAGGGTAGAACATAACAGTTCTTACCGCTTTTAGCATCCGTGGAATAGGCCAGTGGTTTTCCCAGCTCAAGTCTGAAAGTAAGTTTTAAAACTTCAGTGTTAAATGGCCTTCAGCTACTTCTATGCCAGAAACAAAAAGTCCCTGCAGCCCAATTTAATGGTGTATTGATTATTAGAATATGCTCTCCCCATAATCTGCCTGTGCCAGTTGGGGGCAGGGAGGATAAGGGGGAGAAAAGATTCCCACTAGAGAATCCAGCCACTGCTGTATAGAAAATGCAGTGAGAGTAACACTATTGCCGACATCGAGACCCTTCCCCGTGAAACCAATGAAGGAAATTAATCACTAGGTACTTATCCAACACCTTCCCTGCAAAAGGGAGCAAAGAGTTAATTTCCTTCCAGTCAATAGGAATCATTTTTCTTCTTCTCCAGGGATCAGGCCCACTGGACAATAAACACTTTGTTTCAGGGACCACCGTGAGGATGAACTCTGCTTTCAGCCCAAACATCCTGTAAAGCATGTACACGTTTCTCTCCGTCCATCCCCATGCGCCCCGCCTGAGCCTTCTGCCCACTTGTCCTCCAGATATGTTTTGAGTCATAATATCCCCTCTTTATCCCCAGTCGGGTTTTTGGAGAGATGATTGCCTAATCTCAGGATGTGACCCAGGGCTGACAAAATGCTTACCGGAATGGTGAACATAAAATATTTCCACAAATTTTGTTTGCAACGCATACCTAGGTTCCTGTGTGATCTGTTAACTGAGTGACACTTTCCTAACAGAAGAAAGCTGCCGAAGGTTTCTCCGTCTCCATTCTCTCAGCCGATCACCGGAGGCATGAGAATGGCACCAATTCTAATCAAAGGCACGTATGATTGGAAATTAAAAAGTCGATTTGGAGATAGAATCGCTTCCTTGTTAAAGGCCCCCAACCCAGCTCCTTTGAAAGGGACCCGCACACCCTGTGGAGGTCTGAGAATAAGAAAACGCAGTTCATAAATCAAGAGCTACTGTGTGACTCTGCTCTCTTCCACTGCCAAGAGAAAAAAAAGAAAAGGTTTTTATTTGAAATGGCATGCAGTTCGAATTCCAGCAGTGCCAGCGACTGTTACAAACAAGCTATTTGAAAAACACCTTCAACAGCATGCTAATCGGTGAATGAATTTTCAATTAATACAAGCCGTAAGGGAGCAAATTTGATGATGTGCAAAATTTATTTCTAAATAATGGAATCGTTTCAGGGAGACAAGTTACAGCTGTGAGAGTTCTGCCCTGAACCCACGGTGCCCTGTGCCCCTGCCGTGGCCCACCATGTTGAATTGACCATTTATTCCAACTTATCCAGAGAAAAGCCTTCAGATTCTGTTTAGATGCCTGCATTTGATTCGTTGACTGGCCAACCATGTGCATGATACGTTTTCTAAAAGAGATGGTCTTTTACACTAAATGCCAGATTATAAACAAACTAGTTTAATGAGTCTTAACCATTTCTCAGATTACCCAATGGACAAAGAATTTTATGGATGACCTTTCGTCAAAATGACTTGACAAAAATTGTTATTAATCTCTTGTCTCATATGTTGTGTTAATTTGAGCACTTTCCCAATTTTTTACCATTAAATAATAGAGGCTAAGACTTGTGGGTTGGCTGGACATTCTATGTGTAACATGCACGTTTCTTAGGATGAAAACCCAGCTTTCAAAATGCCTCCATGCATTCATAATCATCTCATCACCTTCCATTCCGTCACGAAAAATCGTTTGCGATGTGCCTACTTCTGTATGTCTTTTTGCATTGGTTCTCTAGCAACCAATGGTGACTGTATCACTGGATGTGAAATTCCATTTTTTATTAAAAATGGGAATTTGAGCACTGTAATGACAAAATTGTGGAATATAAAGTTCAGAAGGAAGTGCTGAATCTGGGGTCCCCCTTCGGTGCCAGTTTCAAATTATTTGCCAGGTGACTAATGACAAAGGTAGGAAAAAAAAAAAAGACTGCAATTTCTTTGTCGTGCACGGAGTTCTCCTATAGGAGCAGCTAGAGTTAAGAGGCAAGGCAGGTCAGGATGCTGGGCTGTTTCCTGAGAATGCCGTCGAAGTCATTACAATGTTCTCCACACCACAGAGACGACCCAGAGAAAGTTCTAGGGGTCAGCAGACCCGATCCTGACAGCGACTGTTTTCAAACCCCACTCATTGTGTTACGTTCAGACATAAAAAAAAAAAAAAAAAGTTGTAATTTACTTTGATGAGGGGAATCTGCTTTTAGCCCTTAGTATTCTAGATCTTTATACGAATTCGGGGAGACACCATTACTGATTTAGCAAATTTCAAATGGGCTATCCACATGACAGGGAGTATTTGCAACAGCACAAGTAAGCATCCTCCCTATCTGACCCCATTTCTTGATAACGCAGAAGGACCTCAGTCTGATGCACCCATTGTGAAGGAATCCCTCTGCCATTTTGCCAGTCTCTCAAATTCAGCTATCTACCAAGCAGACTGCTCTCATTGATAGCTCTTCACACTTAAACTTTTCCTCAGCATGGTGACAATGCAACAAAATGGTTAAAACTTTCTAATCCCATGTCACTTTGAAAATAAAATTCAGGGGCGCCTGGGTGGCTCAGTCGGTTCAGCGTCTGACTTCAGCTCAGGTCATGATCTCACAGCTTGGGAGTTCAAGCCCCGTGTCAGGCTCTGTGCTGACAGCTCGACGCCTGGAGCCTGCTTTGGATTCTGTGTCTCCCTTGCTCTCTGCCCCTCCCCCACTCATGCTCTATCTCCCTCTTTCTCAAAAATAAATAAACATTAGAAAAGTAAATTAAAGGGGCTCCTGGGTGGCTCAGTTGGTTAAGCATCCACCTTCAGCTCAGGTCATGATCTCACTGTTCGTGGGTTTGAGCCCTGCGTCGGGCTCTGTGCTGATAGCTCAGAGCCTAGAGCCTGCTTCAGATTCTGTGTCTCCCTCTCTCTCTCTGCCCCTCCCCCACTCATGCTCTGTCTCTCTCAAAAATAAACAAAGAAAATTAAAAAAAAAAAATTAATTAATTAAAAAAAGAAAGTAAAATTCAATCTTACCTTTAGCATCTACTTAATAAAAATATTTTGATAGTGATATGAATTGTCATTGTATAATTTGAGATATGCCACAGAGAATGTTCTAAATATCTCTGGCGAAATTCAATTATTAATGCCCCTGGCCTTTGATATTAACAAGTACCTTCTTGAGCACGTACACCATTTACTGCGAGGTCATCGGTAATCAAGTTACTTTCCTGGCGACTATTAGATGAGATAAAGTTTAGTGGACACATGAGAGCTGATGAGGCGGAGAGTAGAAAGGGTGGCCTAGATTCTGTGTGCAGGTCATTGTCTTTAGAGACTGCCTTGAGGGCAGCTCTGTGGCGTGTGAAGGGGGCCAGAGCAAGAACCTGTGATCAGAAGGCACTTGTGGGTGGGCCCCGGCCGCTGAGGAGGAAAGAAGGACGGAGTTCATGGGATAGGACAGAACCCAAACCAGTTAGGTTATTTTGCTCAAAACCTATTCCATAATTTATTGCCTTGGAATTATGCTAGAGCCTTGTCTTGCCTGGAATCCTCCAAAGAAATTCAGACACAATTAGGTGGAGCTCTTCATTCAGCCACTGAACACCTGCTTCGCCCAGAACCCACTAGATACTGCCCAGACTTCCCCAGATACTCCCTGTCTCCCAAATTTCAAACAGTTTCTCCTTTGTTGACATTCCATGGCCTTCTCCTGTTTCTCCTCAGCTGCTATCATCCCCAGAGCAGGTCTCGGATTGAACTCCAGCCTTTAACCTCTCTGTTCAAACTCCTGCCTTCCAACTTCTCAGTGATGAAAGACTTTACCTCTTTCCTGATAGCACTCTACAATCTCTCCTGAATCAATTTAAGAAAGTCTTGTGCCAGTTTAAGACAGGAAAGGGGGTTCTGCTATGCCACGAGCAAACAACCGGACTGAATCCTGGAGCTGGGAGGGAGAAACAGAAACCAGGTGTTACAACACTGCTGGTAACTTTATCTGGACGGCCTCTTTCTAGCCCATTTTTTTTTTCTTATGTAATATCTACAACCTAATCATAAATCTGCCATATCCAAAAATGATGCTCTGTTTTGTAAAGAAGTAGGAAAGTCTGGAATTATGTTTCCCCATTTTCTGGATGTCCAGATCATACAAAAGCAGTAAGAATTATAACTGCAGGGCTGCCTCGGTAGCTCAGTTGGTTAGGCATCTGACTCTCGGTTTCGGCTCAGGTCATGATCTTGCCGTTTGTGAGTTTGAGCCCCACGTCAGGTTCCAAGCTGACAATGAGGAGCCTACTTGGGATTCTCTCTCTCTCTCTCTCTTTCCCTCTGTGTCCCTCCCCCGCACATGCTCTCTCCCTCTCTCAAAATAAATAAATAAATTTTAGGGGCTCCTGGATGGCTCGGTCGGTTGAGCGTCCGACTTCGGCTCAGGTCATGATCTCACGGTCCGTGAGTTCGAGCCCCGTGTCGGACTCTGTGCTGACAGCTCAGAGCCTGGAGCCTGCTTCACATTCTGTGTCTCCCCCTCTCTCTGCCCCTCCCCCACTCACTGTCTCTATCAAAAAATGAATAAACGTTAAAAAATTAAACAAAAA